ATTTGTATTCTTACAAAAGAATACATTTGGATCTTAAATGAGCGAGTATTAAAGTCATAAAGTCAAAGTCGTTCTCATTTCGAAACATCAAAGGACGTCATCTATCTATGGTGTCAACTCAATTTGCAGTCCCGAAAGTAATTTTTTGTGATGTTATTGGAATTTGCATCCCAACAAATTCATCTTCAAAAATTTGAAGGAGCAAAATCAAGAGAATAGATTGGGAAAGCGCTGGTTTATCCTTGATAAGACACACTTGCTGACTAGAAACAGCTAATAGAAGCCAAAGTAAAAGTCGAAACAACTAGAGCCATTAAAAACATTACAAAAAATGGCTTCCAGTACTGATTTGACAAATGATATGACAACAGCAAATGATGCTTATTTTGAAGATTGTCTTCTGTAAATACTTATTCTATTAAAAGTTCGATTTATTTTTATTCTCTATCGCATATATTTTATTTAGCTATCAAATTTTTGACGCTCACAAAAACATTCGATAGAATATTTATATATATTTTGGAAGTATTTTAATGTATAAAGATGGGCAATTAAAATCTATATTTACATAAAAGTTATCGTTTTGACGATTAGGCAATCTAAAGATGAATCGTGTTCCGGTACGCCATTCTCTGGACTCCTTTCTAATACATGAATAATTTTCTATTTAATTTAATAATTTCTTACTGCATAGTAAATTTAAAATAAATATCCAATTTTTAAATACTTTTTGCATAATCAATGTAGTGATATGGGACCTACTCGTTCCCCCGGAGTGCGATCTGTTATGCATAAATTACAAATATGCATGCTACTCTATGGTATATGCTTTGTCGGATTTATATTTGTATGTTATTTTATTTATTGTTCTAAGAATGCTAAAGTTCAAAATTTAAAAAGAATGTTGAAAGAAAAAGTTTAAAAGAAAATAATAAAATTGGAACATGGTTATTAACCGTATTTATCGGTTGCAAGAGTGTGCCATGGAGCCTCAGCGACCTCTTGTTCCTCGCATACGTAGCGCCAGGCATACGATAATGCGTTGCCGTCCTTAAAGTTGATACATCTACCCGCCAGGCCGGCCTTGTATATTTCAAGGGCCTCGGGGGCCCTGATGTGATCCGTGTGAAAGGCCCTTTTTATCAGCTTGGCGTTGGACAGGTCCGCGTAAACTTCTGGTTCTGTGGCATAGGTGGATAGGGCGGTGGTGTAACGTGCATGATCTATGTCGTATTTGTGCTCACGGACTCTGTTGGATGGAACGTTCGGTGGAGCCGATGTACACCAAGTCTCACCTAAAAGGCCCCCCTCTATATATACGTTATTGCACAATCCGAGTCTGACGATCTCAGGGTTCCGGGTGTGTACAGTGTGCCGGTGAGGAACGACAAGAAATTGTTCGATACAAGGCGTTTTAAGTTTGGAATTCCTTCTCAATTTAACCTGAAGCAGACCTCGAGTGAGGCCGAAAACATTCGTTTCACGAGGTTTAAACGTTACCGGACATAAAGGTTCGTCGAGTGTGTTCATTAACACCGGTAGTAATTACCGGTGTTAATGAACACACTCGACGAACCTTTATGTCAGGTTTACGTTGGAAGATATTGTATTCTTTACAATCAATATCTTACAATTGTCGTTAGTAGTGTATAACGAATATACTGACAATTTAAATTACACACATTTAAAAAAAGTTTGAGACTGATAAGATTTACACACACAGGCTACTTTAAATCAAATTAATAATATTTGAAAAAATTGCATAAAGAATTATCAAATAAGGGGAGAAAATGTGTATGTACGTACTGTACAACTCGTTTCAGAGATTTTCATTCAAAGCACGGATCCGTTTTGGTATTGCCTCAAATAGTGTAATGTAACAATCCATTGAATAATTGGCAAGTTACTTGGAATATCTCGAGTTCTGTTTCATAACTTCGTAATTCTTTCGAAATGAATGTTTCTTCCATAAGGCCAAAACTTTTCTAAGATTAATAAAAATACGAAAACGTAATGAAATCCTTTTAAATGCGTGAGTAGCAAGAAAGAATTTTTGATTTATAGTTATATTTAGTGAATTACATTAATTCTTTTTCTTTCAGCTATTTCGAGTTTTAGAGAGTTGAAACATTGAAATATCAATCGCGATTTAGCATAATCATTTGCATAATCTCATAGTAAGGCTATGTATACATTAGGCGGTTTTGCGTTGCATTAAACGCGCGTTAGCTCGACGTTCGACGAGCGTTTAGTGGATCGTTAGCACTGGCTCAGTTTGGAAATGGACGTGAAAGAAATTGCTTGTGTGTGCCTCCTCCATCGTCGCTATAAAAGACGATGGCAGAGGCAAAGAGAATTTTGGGTGCACCCAATATTACGAGATAGACTGATGCAAGGAATGTTTCTAACGTTGTATCCAAAACTAAGATAAACCCAAATTTTTTAATTCTTTTAGAATATCTATAAAATCATTTGACGATGGCTGGTCTCTTTTAGATTTCATCAATAAATAGATCAGTATCGAAATGATCGTTCTCCAATTCGGCCAACGTACGCCCACTCTACCGAAAGCGCGCGATCGAATGTACAACATGGCAGCACATATATCTCAAAACGCGCGTTTTAACAAAAATCTATCAACGCGCGCTTGAGTATGTATGCCTATGCAGAACTCTTGATTCTTTAAAACGCCTGATGTGTACACAGCCTAAGAGCAGAAAAGGAAAATATAGTGCCGTAGTCAACTCAACAGATGATATAAGGATTTTTTAATACACTATAAAATTTAATTTCGTATTTTCCTCTCTTCTTCAACAAACATTAATTTCATCCTGTCAACAATTATCCTCTCATCTGTGATACACAAATACTTCATTTCCAGATCGCTGCCTTTGATCCAACGATATGGAAAATACAATTCATTTGCATACAATGTATGGTTTGGATTCAAGGTTTATCAGATTTTAAAACCAGGAAATAAAAATATAATCTATAGTATAATAAGTAGTGTGTAAAAAACGTCAATATAAAAATCGAAATAATGTAATTTAATACGCCTCAAATGAAAATTAATATATTTATGTAACAGAAATTAAAAGTATTATTAGAGAGCGTACGAAGAGATCGGTGCAAGAGGGCTCCGAAAACCAGCCCACAAATAGCAGGTTTCGAATTATCAGTGGTTTTGGTCTATGTGTCCCTGTCTATCCATACAATAGAAATATATGTCGTGCTTGATTGTAGGCTGCCACAAGCATTCGAAGTTTACGAATGGTGGTGGTAAGGAGGATACAAATCCATATACTATTCTAAATTATTGTGTCAATTCAGAGAAAATAATTTAAATATTCCATAGTAGTTTATAGGCTAAATTGTACTTGTAGAGGAAAGAGTATATTATGTAGGAGAAACCAAATTAAGTAAAATTAAGAGAGCATGAGCGGCCATAAGATTAAAATATCAGTCACTGAAGAAAATAAATGTATTATTGATAGAAATAATATAAAAATTCTGTATAACGAAAAAGATTTATATTTGAGAAAATTCAAAGAACACGTCACGATAATTTAGTTTAAAAAACGATCAATTATTTATTGTGATATCGTTACAATGACGGGTTGCAATTTTTAATCATATTTTTGATTTATTTAATTTAAAATATATGCTCCTTACCTCAAATTAGTAGGGTCTTGCCCCTGTACATCATACTTTTCCTGTTAGCAATAGAGTCGTGCCGGTCATATACCTAACTCCTTTTAGGAAAAAATTTTTGAGTTAAAACACGACTTCCGGTTTGCATCTGAAGTTCATTTATTAATCGTGGCTTCCCGCCCCTAATCTTTCCATATCTGGTCTCGGCTTTCATCTAACTCCGTTCTCGAGATTAAGAAAGGGCAGACAGTCGGACGGATATTAATTTAAGGAATGGAAATCGATGACATGGTATGATGTCATAGTTCACTACAAAAAGTATTGTAGATGCGAGATATAATACATTATTATTTGCTATTCTAAGATTTGTTCTCATCATTTTCTTGCAAAGGTTTTATAATTTTAATATTTTTTAAAAAACTTTTGTAACCCGAAGAGAGATTGAAACAATTTTTATATCAATCTAAAATACATTTCTGAATAAAAGTAATGAGTCTTGGTCTCTGATCAATACTGATTACGGAAAAAAACGTGTTATTTCATTAGTCCAAAATGAAAAGAAGAAAACTTGCATTAATTATACTTACTGAATAAAAAGCTAAGAGCACTAAAAAGGCCTATTTATTTGTTTAGTACAGTACAATATTACGGTTTTTTATTTTTGCATTTATTTACCCTATATATAGTCAAATCATCATAATGTCAAATGGTTTGATGCAGAAGGTCTAGTTTTGTTTGGAAGCAATGTTTAATCCGAAACTTGCGGATTTCATTGATTTGCTAGTTCTTTGGAAGAAACGTAATAACCAAAAACATTTTGAATATCTTGAATAAAAGTTCGTTATGTTGAATAAAAAATGTAACTCTCGTGTGTAACATGAGGATATACGTACAGGGATTTTGTACGGTCACAACTATCATTTGACCTACTGGGCAATTTTGTGGAACAGAAATCGTTAAGTGAGATCTGTGGGCCACCGGGAAAATCCAATATTAAATACTTTCGACGTGGCACAGTTTTTATATATCTCGGAACATGGATCTATGGACTTATCCTCCTTGAACTGACCTTCATATATGTATTTGGGAAATACAAAAAACCCAAAACGATTTAGAAAATTTCATAAAATTACATGTTGTGTTGCCTTCAAGTTGAACATTTAAGCAACGTAAGACCTATTTTAAAGCACGCAATGTCTCTGCCTGTAAACGGGCAAGTTTTAGTCAACAAAACAGGATTTTAAAAAGGATCTTATGTTGCTTAATTTACAAAAGTGAAAAAAAGGTATTTTATTTCCATATATTTTTATATTTAACAGAACAGAAGAATAAATAAATTTTAATCAAGGTTTTTATAATATAAAATTTTAATAAGCCGTCTTGTTTACTTAATTACTGGAAAAAAAAAATCAAAATTCTTCCAGTTAGTGTAATATTTTGCTCACACTATATTCACCAATGAATAAACACAGTATTCTTTTGAAAAATGAATTTGGTAAAGATATTTTACCATTCCATCCATACATATTATGTAGTAAATTATTGGAATATTTTATGAAATTATAACGATATTCTTAAATTAACAATGAGTGGCTCTCCCACTGATGATAATGAAGTGCATGTTGCATTCATCACAACAGCTACATCAAATAAAATCAGGTTTTACAATTTTCTTTTAAAAATGGGATTTGAGATTTATAATATAAACACATCACAATAATAGAACAATTATTAATTGGAATGTTTCAGAATTACTTTTTACAGTAATTATTCAAAATCAACTCTATTTCTTTTAGACTAGATACAATATCGTCCAATTTCTCCTTTTCGATTTCGAACTTTATAGAATGGGAAACCTAAAGATAACACTAACTCATTATAATTGATTTCTTTACTTTAAGAAGAGTAATGTAATTTATAAGTAAATCCTTACCTGATTTTCATCACATTTATTTTCGACTTCTAAATCGACGATTGCGATTGGCACATTAACATCGTTATTATCTTTTGTACAGCTTTTAAGATCCGTTCTCCAACGAAAATCTTTCAGAGTTTGGTTCCAGCAAGATTTAGCGACTAGACTAGAGTGGATTTTGGCTTTGTGAGTCTTCCAAAATTTCGACAAAATCTTCGATTGTTCGTTCGTGATTCCTCCCTTGCGTTTTACTTGCGATGTAAGGAAAGCTTCTAACTGGTTAAAATCCATATCGGAAACAGCCATACTCTAGGGGGAAAAAAAGATGAATAAATATGTCAAGCATTACAGGTGAGATATGACAAATAAATATTGTAAATTGCAACAAGGAACCACTGTATGACCAGCAGGAACAAAGAACTAATAATACGAAGTAAAATATGTTCAGATTTGTGTTATCTAATTATTAAATTCATTTATTTTCATTTTTGTACTAGTTGCAAAGATTCCAATATACAGTATTAAAAGTTTTAATATTTTGGTTCAAACAAATTCATTGTACAGATTGTTTAAGAAATTGAGAAAAATCACAAATATTTTTCCGTTATTCCTATATTGTACGTAAATTTATTCAAGTGATTTATCCTAAAGGTCTATTATTGTATATTAGCTTAATGAAAAATTCTTCTTTATTGCTTGAGATCCTATGTTTTCATGGAAAAAGTAACTAAGAGTTGATGAAAAGATGTGGTCTGGAAGATCACATAGTAGTACCCAGTTAAAGTAGTTAGGCCACTGAGCCAAGCACTGAGGGTAGGGGATGAGTTTAAAAACAATTGTAAATGCCAATAACGAGTAAAATTTGTATTAAGTCTGACCCCATTCATGATATGTTCCCAACTCCTTTAACCACCTTTAACCACCAAAATTTTCGGACGGCTGGATGGCCGTAACAGCCTACCGCTCTGGAAGACTTGGGATCAAACCGGACAGGTCAATAGACCCCAGGAATTTTTCAGAGAATGATGTGTACGGATATGTCAGGCGTTGTCCCTCACCATCTGGCCATTCCATTATGAGCCTGACCGAATCGATAATGGACTTGTTAAATAAAGTCCTCTTTGAGTCCACGGGGGAAAAACACCAAAATTAATAGCATCAATGCTCCAATATATAGAAATAACCCTGCAAAATTTCCTGGTTCTCCAGTCCTTAAGATATAATGTAAAATAGATACTGATATACACGATTTTTAAAGGATTTTTTCTTTACATTTCTGGGCTCATGGGTGGCCAAACACCGAGAAATGCAAAAAAGCTGGGTGGGAGAGTCAAAATTTGGCCGATCATCTTACTTTCCCTAACATATTCTATATCAGCGCGGAAAGTAAAGTTTAAATCATATTATTGCTATTAAAGAATGGAAATTACTTTTAGTTAGGTCAATATTTTTGCAAATACTAGGGCAATTTTCAAAATATAGCAAAACAATTGCATAAATTTTTAGTTCAGTGAACTAGTAGTACAATTCCAATAAGTTTTAAACAAATTCAACAATCACCGAATTAGCACTTTACTGCACAAACCTTAACAGATATTTCTATTTATTTACAAGAAGAATGAAAAACTTTATTGTATGTATATATCTAACGAAAATACCTGAGATAAAAAATATTGCACCAAGTAAAAATCCACAATTTAGATGACAAACTTCTAAGAAAAAAAAATTTAACTCTCTGGTAAAGATGAGCTTAAGCAGTGCTCGAATGGTACCCACAAGATTTTTACTATTGTTTCCTACATTTTGCTGTGAAGCGCCAAGCTTTATCAAAGAAAAACTAGGAAAAAATTTGTCTATCATCCAAATTGTCACAATTTTTCTGGATATCAAATTTTTTTTAAATTAAGGATTGTGCTATTACATCAAAACCCGTAATGTCGTCGTACAGTTCAGAATGCTTTCAATACGCCGTTAGTAAAAGCATTATAAGTTTTAATTCACATAAATTTGAGTTTTTCTTACTCTGGATAACATTTTCAATAAACATCATTCGTTTCGATGCAATTTTATTCTTACAAACATAAAATTAAGCAATAAAAGTAAATAGCTCTATGTGGAACCTCTGCGAGATTTGACCTATCGACCGGAAAGTTTCTCCAGCATCTCACTGATAACTGGGTCCAGAAAGCTCAAACTTTAAACTTAAGCTGAGAAAGGATTAAGTTTAAAATTTGAGCTTTCTGGACCCAGTAGTTTTTCCCCCTCTAAGAGTCTGCGGAGCAGATGAAGAAAATACAGATTTTTTGGCAATTTTTGCACTTTTCGATTGCTAATATTTTGGCAACTGTATAGAAAAATCTGAAATTTTGCATACTAAGAAAACCAGTATCTTTCAAACTAGATATTCAGTATTACTATAGGAATTTTGGGGACAGAGAAATTGACTCCCAAAAATCGGCAACTCTGATTTCTGTATGTACAGGTGTAGGACAAAATAATAGGAACAACCCTTTCGAAATGTGTTGTACTTCGACCGTCCAATACAGCTCCATCACGTGTCGCAACAGTCTGCCATCCACTGGTAATGAAAGGGAAGGTATTAGTCGAGCATTTGGCAATGTGACAGTTGCATGAGAAAATTCTGTTCCCAGCAAAGTGGTGTTATGTCCGACCTGTCTGATGTGCAAAGAGGCATGATTATTGGAGCTTGCCTCGCTGGAGCATTCATGTCTAGAACAGCCAACCTTATGGGTGTTTCAAGATCCACTGTGTCAAGGGTTATGAGAGCCTACACAAAACTGGGAAAGATGTCCTCTGCAAAGCAGAACAATGGGCGAAAGTCGAAGTTGACCAACCAGGATAGACGAGCATTGAAGAGGATAGTCACCTGAAAAAGTAAGACTACACTGCAACAGATAACTTCCGAGATGAACACCCATCTCCAGAACCCCGTATCCATCAAAACTATTCAACGAGAACTGCATGCTGCAAGCATTCATGGCCGAGTAGCCATCCCAAAGCCATTAGTGTTGTCGCAGAATGCTATGAAGCAACAACAGTGGTGCTGAGACCACCGAAACTGGACACGACAGCAATAAGAACAGGTCATCTGGTCTGACAAATCATCATTTATATTATTTCAGACCAACAGATGTGTGTTCGTCTGGAAAACACTGGCAGAGTCATTTCATGTTGACTGTCTGGTTCCTACCGTGAAGCATGGAGGGGCTCTGTGATGCTGTGGGGAGCGATATTGTGGTGTGGCTTGGGGCCACTCGTAGTCCCGAGGGAGAAGGTCAGAGGCGAGCATTATCGCAGTATTCTCGCAGATCATTTACACCCTATGCTTTATACTGTTTCCTGGAGAACATCCTTTATTCCAAGATGGCAATGTCCCTGTACACATGGCTTGCTGTGTTCATACATGGTTGGATGAGCATAATGATGAAGTGGAACATCTCATGCGGTGTCCTCAGTCCCCTGATCTCAACATCATTGAGCCTGTGTGGGGTTTTTTAGAGAACAAAGTCCGAGCTCGGTTTCCTCCTCCACGCACACTACCTGAACTCAAGACTGCTCTGCAGGAGGAATGGCTTTCTGCATGACCTTTATTTCTCAATCCCACGTTGGATACAAGCTGTAATTCAGGCCAATGGTGACCCAACTCCCTACTAATAAATATTTTGCATTCTTTCACATGTGTTCCTATTATTTTGTCTTATACCTGTATGTTTGTATATTCATTCAGTGACAATTTTACTCGAATACATTTACAGATAAAATATGCAATATTGATATAATATAAAATAATGTTCACTAAGCAAAATCATCTGTACTTCACTGTTGGCAGACAATTTATATCAAGATAGATAATTTAAATTTCCACAAATCCAATTAATAATTTTTTTCGTAATGTTCCCAAAACAATTTTTTTTTTTAATTTACAATGTTATATCTTTCACCATGAGAAAAGTGAGAATCAATTTCAGTAGGCAGAGTTCATAAAATACCTCATAGATGTGTTTGACATGATCAGAATAATAGAGCTGCGAAACTATTTAATTGAAACTAACTGTTTTACAAACTAACAAAAAGCTGCAGTTTGTATTTTCATTTTCAAAATAAACCTTTTGATATTCTACAATCTAGAAACTGTATTTTCAATCCTAAAATATTTATTCTCGTCACCTTTTTTTTAACAACAATGGTTTAACAATAATCTGAATTTAAATAATAAAATCAAGGAAGATTTAATTGGGGAATGAAAGACGACGTTGGATAGACAAAGAATTGATTAACTGATAGAATTTTTATTGATCTAAAGCAGGGGTGGCCAAAACGTGGCGCATTGGACGATTACAAGTGGCGCTTCAGTTAGTTCTGAGCAAAATTGCCAGATTTGGCTTTTTTGCGATTAAGAATATTATATAGAAAAATAAATTTTTTATAGTCTGTCTTGGCAAGTTCATTTGTTTTGTATAAAAAGTGTTCGAGTTATATGGCGCATCTGAACTCGTCTGTCAAAAAATTGGCGAATGGTATGCAAAAGGTTGGCCACCCCTGATCTAAAGCGTGATTTTATAAACTTTCATTTCAGCTTGAGCAAAGCCCATTGTATTAATTCCTTCGTGTTAGGTGCAAGTAGTTTTACTCCGTAGTTGTCCGCCAGAGGGCGAAGGGTAGTTATGTTCGATGGCTGTGTTTAGTATTAGGAAAGCTTGTGTTTTATCATTGGTTTTTAGTTCTTATAATTAAATACAATTTCTTCATATTACATTAAGCCGTACAACCATTTCATGCGTTAAAAATAACTCTGATATTTTCGAAAAATTGATTTAACTAAAGGTAACCTGGTCTTATTTCAGATACGTACCTTTATCAAATTTGCACATTGATGTCTTATCCGCATGAATTCTTCCTCAGACAAATTAGGATAAAGCTCATTCTTTAACAAATCATCAGTTATTTCTGCATCTTGATAATAAGTTTGGCGAGCTATTCCAGTTAATAAACCTAAGTAACTCCTCTCTTCCTCCATTTCTTCGTCACAAAAGCCATACCACGATAAGTTGTTGCCTCAACGCCATCTGTTAGCGTAAAAATACAGAATTTATAATTTTATTTTATTTCAAAGATAAATTATTAATAAATTAATATTAATACTTTATTTCATAAGCAATTAACTTACAATTTAAATAATGAAACGATATCTAAACATAAATTAATTTAAAAGAAGCGGAGTGATTCAATTCTCATAACTAATTTCTAAACTTGCCGTTCAAACATAATTATATTTTATGGCTTTAATATGTTCCTGTAATCTAAGTTTTAATATCAGTTTATAAGTTTATAAGATAAAATATTCTGTTTTTAAGTCCAACCTCTTTCGAGATTATTTTTTAACTCTTTCCGCCCTGTGGGCACTAAGAGGGCCTCTTATAGCAGGCCCCTTATGGGTTCGGCCAGGCCCACAATGGGGCAGCCGGGTGGTGAGAGAAGGGGACATATCTGGACGGACAACCCCCAAAAGATTTCTGGGGATTTAACGACCCGTCCGGAACGAACCCGGGTCCCCCAGAGCGGTAGGCTACCACCTTGACCGCTCGGCCATCCGGCCTGCAACCTCTTTCGAGATATGACACGACCTTTAACCACCAGAATTTAATAGCATCAATGCTTCTCATACACAAGCTATCATGCCAAATTTCGTTTCTTATAGACACCAACACATACACGGAATATTTTTTTTCGACTTGTTTGAGTCCAGGAGGTCTCAAAACCTGGAGATTTGCAAAAGTCTCTGAATTAAAGTTAACACAATTCCAATACTTCTCCAATACTCTATATAACAATCAGGAAAATAAAATTTAAAATGTTTAGAAATGCATTTAACTTATCGCTACAGAATATTTTGTCGTATTTACAAACGTTTAAACAAAGGGTTAAAGAAAGAAATGCCTTGTTGTTTACTTTCAAACAGAAAAAAATTTAAACAGGGCCATTTTCACTCGCACTATCTCAGTTAAGGGTTAAAACTCTTCCTTTCCTTCGCACACTTTTACACAAACAGTTAAAAATATTCTAGCTCGTTGCCCCGATCGCATATTTTGCAGAATATAAAAAAGTTAATACAGTAATTACTAGAGGTCGCCACCGCAACGACTAAAAAATCATCTACGGGACGCAGCGTTTCACTAATACAGAAATAATCCAACTTAAGCATTAAAACTTTAAAAAAAGTTGTAAAAAATTGGAATTGGCGATCCTTCGACGTCTTTAGGTTTTCATCTGTGAAGTTTACGTAAATGATTCGTCGAAGATGAATTCATTTCTGTGGAATCATTTACGTAAATTTAGTATTTATTTTATTTTTATGTATAATTTGTCTACAATTCCTTAGGAAAATTTAACTTTTTCTAGCCCAGATAGCGAAGAAGATAACCAAAAAGTGATAGAAGAGTTTAATTAAAATGGAAGCGAGAACTGGCAGAAGTTGACTGGAAAACGTAATGCAGAAAGTAAAAATGTTAGCTGCAAAATGAACGAGAAAAACTCGATTACTACCGAAAGACTGGAGACACGTGGTGCAGATTTGATGGCACTTTCGCAACAATGGAAAAGTGCCATCAGACCATTCTGTGCTGCATCGACTTCTAATGCTTCTAAACGACCTGTTGCAGATACCACAGAAGATCGAATTATTTGGCCTTCCTTCCGTTCTTCGTCTAACAACGTTGAAAATAATGCTGGCTGTTCTTTCACATTCAATAATTTCTGTGAAGTAGAAAGTTTGATACGGGAATAAAGGATCATTCACAATGTGTTATATAAGTGTAACTTTAAATCTATCGGAAAATGCTGCCTGAGGCGACATTTTCGGATACGTATTGAAACAAAATGTAGAACTAGTTAGCTTTGATAATTTTTCAATGTAAATACATCAATTGGAACTCCATTGCTACATACCTGTGTGAGACAGCTGGAAGCTGAGTTTTATAGTAATCAGGTTATTATCCACAGGGTGAATAACTGTTTGTCAATGAGTGTAATTCAGGTAATCCGACTCCTGATAATTTTAGTAGGCCGATTCCAGCAAAATTAAATACCAAGTGATTTTATGGGGGGCAGAGTCACCGTTGGGGGTACCCTACTCTGAATTCTGAAAGGAGCCAAATACTTTCATAGTTAGTATTTTTAATATTTAACAATACTTAATAAGAAGAGAAAGGAGGCAATAAAATTCTACATCTACATATATTCGACAGCATTTGCACTCCAATTTCATACTTCCAGAAGAGTAGTCCAACTAAAAAGTGTACGATTTTGCTAGTTACTTCAGCCCCTTATTCAGGAAAGAAAAATATGTACTCTGATCAATTAGTCTGGCTCATTTAGAAATATAGAGTACTTATTTAGGGCAGGGATAATAAAGGAATGATTCAAATATATTCAAATTCAATTAGGTCAAAATAATTTAACTACTAAACACAAATACTACAAAGAATACTACATATTTAATAAATTAAACTGATGCATTTTGTATTTAAAATAAATGAATTATAACAAAATACAAAAAGATTTTTAAAAAATTAATAAATATATAATAAATTTTCTTTCATTTAAATAAAAAACTAAATTAAATTTAAAATGCGGGAGTCGGAATCCACACATTTTTTTCCCACTCCACAGTCCTGCTTTCTAGAGCGTATGTATTTCTAATCACGGCTAGCCTCAATATATGGAACACGAAGCATTTTGCAACTAGGTACAGCATACTGTTATATACTGTAATTTGCATTATGATAATTTCTCAGAGAAGTGTTTTGTAGTTTCAAATTATTATTTTGCAACTTTTACTTTTCCAATTTGTTTTCATTCTCATTTTAACTTCTACCATTATTTTCAAGAAAAATTATTTATAATTTCAAAACAAAAACGTTTTGTCGAACAGTTATTCAATAGAAGGTTTATTTAAAAAGTTTTATCTCCAAATTCCACGTATTTGAGATTATTGTACCAGCGTAATCAAAATCATGTGATGCATCCTCTGTGTAGTCACAAACCTGGTGTTTCTGGTGCATTTGATTTTAGAGCAGGGCTGTGGAGTCGCGTAAAAATCTACCAACTCCAACTCCGGCTAAAACACCAAAACTCCACGACTCCGACTACACAGCCCTGCCAGGGCTGTAGAGTTGCATAAAAATCTACCGACTCCAACTCTTCCTTACCATCCAACTCCGACTCCGGCTAAAACACCAAAACTCCACGACTCCGACTCACAGCCCTGTTTTAGAGGTAAAAATAAACCATGTATATTTCTGATGACCTTTTGTTTAGGTACATTACTCATATATTCTCATTTTACTAACACCATTATCAAAAGTTTCAGCACAGTATTATAAAATGAAACTTCAATATCAAAATTTTTCCTTTTACACAGAAGTTGGTTGCTACTTATACTCATCTATTGTTTGCATTACAGTTCCAAATATTTGACTCCCTTCTCCAAAAAGATAATCTTAGAGCATATATTCAACATGAGTTTTTAAGAACTATGCTGATCTAGGCTTTGTAACATCTATCCATCCACGTAAGAAAGCAGGTGATAGGTGTCAGAGAAGTGTGTGCTTTAAGGTATGATATGGGTGGGTTACTGTTCTAAAAGATTCATTTTTCAGATGAGTGGGAAAATCTTGTTTTGCAAGTCTCAAACAATGCTCCTATGGCATTACACACAGCCTCCCTTGCAATCAGCAAAGACAAATTCAAACATCTCCAAAAGCTGAAAGTATTAACATTTCTAAAACAATCTTAAGTATGTTGGCCAGAAGTAAAAATGAGTTTGATACTTGTTGTTGATTATATTTGATAAATATGTGATTGTATAAATAGACAATGACAATGAGTTTAAAAAATTTCCTGACAACAATACAGTATAATAAAAACTTACAAATTTTTTTTGTAGTCAATTACTTCAAAATATGCATAAACCGCATATAGAATAATCACCACTTTTATATTCTTTAAATACATTCTTCATAAAAATTTAAAAAAGGGTTTTTTTTTAATTAACCAATACCAAACAATCTTAAAATTAATTGACTACAAAAAAATTTGTAAGTTTTTATTATATCGTTGTCGGGAAACTTTTTAAACTGTTGTAAGATAAAAATTTGATTATTATGTACTTTTTAGAACATGGTTATAAATCTGCTGATGAGGGACGTGTGTGTCCGAAACACAAATGTGTGTATTATGTGTACAGAAACAACAGGTGAAAAATAGTTTTTTTGTTTTTTCTGATTAAGAACTCATACTTGTTGCAAATAACTATCACACCAGTGTAAATGTCCTATTAATTAATAAGATAGGTCTTAGTTGACTATAATAGAATAAAACAAGAGATAAGGATGTAAAGGCAACTAAATTAATAATTCCATTTGCTTTAAGAAAGTTCTATAGTAATTTTTGTTTATTAGAATTAAAATATTGTACATGGAAATGAATAATCAAACTTAAATATTGTAACTGGAAAGAAATTAATGATACCAAGTAAACAATAATTTGAAAACAAGTCAAAATGTACTTTCTCTAGTACAACATTCAGCTTATAAACCTCGTAACTCCACGGTTAAAAGCTGACACAAACCACTTAAGTCCATTATCACAAATAGTAACAAAAAATGACCACTACAATAAGCAAACAACAACTTTTTAGACATATCTTCAAAAATTCATTGCCACAAATGTGGTATCTCCCTCAAAAACCAGTTTTTGATGCCTCCTGTAAAGTAGATAGTTTGGAGATACAAAGTTTGTGAACTAGATTAATGATATCACAAACTCAATGAAAGTACAGTATAGTAGACTCTCACAGTCAAATGACAGCCATGGGGGATTGGTAGATGCTGGAGTAGTTTCTGATTGCTTACTATTAAAAATAGACCTAATACTATACCCCATAAGATACATATCATAAACTCTGTATTGACTTCATATTAATATTGAAAGATGATAATTAAAACAAATAAAGACAAATTTAACTTAATGAAATACAGTTTTGTGAATGCAGTATGCAATTTTACTTAAATGGCAGTGGGAGACAAACACATGGACATGAAGTGTGAACTTACTCAAAGTGTGACATGTCAAGCTTAAACTTACATTTCTGCTAGAAAATTGATAATATTTTAATTTTTATTTAAAGTATTATTTCTTCATTTTTTTTTGCCAGTTAATGGAGAGTGTACTGTATTTGGCTTTAACTCTGTTTTGAATGCCAAAATGTTTTAAAAATTTGAAGAAAAGTAATCTTAGTAACTAAATCTGTAAAAATATATTTAACTCATAAAACAAAAACAAAAAATTATTATTAACTAAGAAGTAAATATACTTCAAGTTGATTTTTTTTACTATGATATTAACTATAAATCTGTATGTTTTAATGAAATTGTAATATAATATAATGATAAAATATAAAGTAAAATTAATATTTTTTTTGTTTATTGGATTGATATTACAACACAGTTACACTGTACATGCAGCTTATGCTGCAAAAAAGAGACATTCTATAAAATTGCCATTATTAAAAAACAAGTTCCTGATTGACAAGCAGTTCTTGCAAAACTTATTTTGGTGGTAATTATCTTTATCCAGACCAGGAACCATACAAATGAATTAATATACATTGTAATAACTGAAAATTTCAGGAGAATTTGACAATAGCATCAAAATATATTTTAATGCAACAAAAATTTTTTTAAACTAAAAATTTTTAATTCACTAAAAGTATGAGAAAAAATAAAATGTTGAAATGAAACTAATATTTTGCAGTGTCAGGGATTCGTTGTCTTTTTTAGTTACATGATTTAAACACTTCGATTTGTCATTGTATGCTTTAGCTGAGACTTCTTTAATCTGCAATTGCATTTTACATTATTTTGATGCATGATAAAATATTTGCTTTTTTAAACAACAGTCACAAGTAACTGATTGGTGATAAAGGAATAATCTTTAACATTAAATATACATTTTATTTTCCATTGATATAATAAAATATCATCTTATTCCAGTAGAAAATGGATTGAAATATACTTTCATAACTAGAAAATACAGTTTGCACATTAAGAAATACCTACAACAGCTGGAAAGAATTGCTTGCCTTCAGACTTTTTGTGTGATTTTTGATATTTTACTTTACCTGAAATTGTACTAGTCATATATTGGTTCAAATTCCTGATCACCTAGAGATCCAATCTTCTCTTCACCAACTTCTTTTTCTCCATTTTCTGTTTCAGCTGACTGTTCTGACTGTTCTTGAATGACTGGGGTGACTGGAGTTTTTTCTTCAGAATTTTGAACTTCGACCTCAATCCTCTCTGCTGGTTCTGTCGTTTTGGTTTCTTCGCTTACAGTTACCTCTTCTTTCATTTCTACTTCTGGATTTTCTTCAATAACAATCTCTGCAGGGCCCCTATTTTCTTTATCAACACAAGTTTCTGCTTGGTCTAATTCTTCATCTTCTAATGCTTCTTTCTTATAAAGTTCATCAATTTCTTTCAGTTCCTCTTCAATCTTAGCCCTCTGACTCTTTATGGCAGCTGTAATAAGATTTAAAAAGCATGCTAAATAGAAAGAACTAATAATTTTAAAAATAAGCTAATCTGCAAATGTTTCTCTTGTAATGTTTTTATAATTCATATTAAAAATATAGAACATGTAAAATCTTAATATTTTAAATAGAATAAATGCAACATCAATCACAAAGTAATAAAAATATAAAATGTTCAACTAAGACATCACTTTCTAAAAACATTATTCAGTAAAATATGCATTTTAAGTTTTCCTCAGCTTAAAGATAAAAAAGTCAATAAATTTTATTTATTGACTTTTACTTTTCCCAGCTGTTATGTATACATAACAATGGAAAGTATTGGAATCATGTCAAGTTTGACTCTCCAGGTTTTTTGCAGGACATTCAGGAGGTCTCAAAATCTTCATGTTTTGAGACCTCCTGAATTCAAAAGAGTAAAAGAGAATGGGGGGGAAATCTGTAGATGTGTGTGTGTTGATGTCAATTTTGTTTAATGCATGGTGTGATTAGAATATAATGAAACTGTGATCACCTGCACGCAACAGTTGGATGTGGGTGGAAGTGAGTGGGTGAGTAAACGACCTTGAACAAATTAGAACAAGCACAGTGTCTTAACTTGCTACTGCTATTAGATTGCTGTCACTGCCTGCTGCGAGTAGACATGTTTTTAGCTCATGTTGAAAAAATGGCCAGCTTGAAAGAGGAGCAGTGTTCAACCTGAAATTTTTGGTAAAATTGAAAGAAAAAAAAAAAAGCTGCCACTGAATCTTTGCACCTGCTACATGAAGCATACAGAGATACATCTTTCTCATGCATGTGTGTTTGAATGGCACAGATTTTCTGAGGGCCAATAGGATGTGAAAGATGATGAACATTCTGGACAGCCTAGCACATCAAAAACCGAGAAAAAAGTGGAACAAATTGTTCAAAGTGATCAAAAACTAAGCATAAGAATGATTGCAGACATGGCACACACGAATAAGGAGAGTGTGAGGCAGATTTTGCATGAAAAACTGAACATGAAAAAGGTGTGCTAAGGTTGTTACATGGCTGCTATACCCAGAGCAGAAAAAGAACCGCAAGCAAATTTGTTCCGACATTTTGGCTCAAATTGAAGGTATGCTGAACTTTCTGGACATCATCATAACTTGTGATAAAACTTGGATATTTCAGTACAATCCTGAAACAAAGTGTCAATCCATGCACTGGAAGACACCACAGTCACCAAGGATGAAAAAAGTGCAACAAAGCAAGTCCAAGTTCAAGGCCATGCTCGTTGTGTTCTTCAACATTAAGAGTGTAATTTTGGAACACTGGGTTCCAGAAGGCACAACAGTGAACCAATATTACTACAAAGAAGTTCTGGAATCTTTTCAGGAAAGGGTCAGAAGAAAGTGGTGACACTTGTAGCAAAATGGTTTCATCCTCCATCAAGACAATGCACCAGCCCGTTCTGCTCTGTCAGTGAAGCAGTGTTTGGCCAAGAAGGGAGTCACACTATTTCAATATCCACCGTGTTCCGTGTGACTTTTACCTTTTCCCTAAAGTCAAGTCTGCTCAGAAGGGACACTGTTTTGATTCGGCTTCTGCTGTCAAGGAAAAAATGACAGCTTCTGCATAACTTTACAGAAAATGACCTGCAGCACTGTTATGATCAATGGAAGTTATGAATGCAGCAGTGTGTGGAAGCAGAAGGATCACACTAAAGGGAAACACAACTAAAGTGAATATACTACTCAAGGATTAAAGTTTCAGCTTCAGTCTCGTTATTTTCTAGCCACACCTCACATCTCAGAATGGGGTAAAAGTTAAGAAATGAAATTTGTACAGTAGCTTGTTTATAAGGGACATCAATGCTAAGAAATTCCGGGGGTTAAAGGTCAAGGGGATGAGAAAATAGAGGGATGTCATGTGTCGTATCTCAAGAGAGGTCAGACTTAATGATGATACTATTTGTTATTAGTGTTTACAATATTTTTTTTTTTTTTTTTTTTTTTTATGAAACTTGTCACTGCCTTCAAAATTAAGCCTTTTGCCATTTTATAATAATTAAAAATATAAAAATTTTTTTGCAACAAAATCTCAGATGGTATCATTCACAGTTTTATTTATTATAGTTAAAAATATACTGTAAAAGTTATTTTTAACAGCCAGAAAATTTGTGCAACTTGTTTCTGGATTTTTTATTCATTATTATTATTTTATTCATCTTTCTTTGAGCTGGGCATTCAAGAGTGGTCCAACACTGGTGCTGGATCATAGCTAATAATGGAGAATACTATTTTGATTAATTAAAGCTTTGTATCATTTTTAAATAAAATCACTTTTTCTACACCCTAATTTTTGGAAATGACTTTTTGATTTTCCTGATAGCAACAACTTATTTTGGACAATAAGCATTACCTTCGATTTTTTTCTGAGAGTCTTTGTGACGTTTCTCAGATTCTGGTGTATGTTTTGCAGGCAAAAACATAATAGGTGGCTTAGCTTTAGTAAAAATGAAATTCATCATCAACCGTTGCTTTGCTTCCCATTCTTCATGCTGAAAAAAAACATATATATATATTATTATTGAAAATTATACATCAAAAAGTTTTAATATAATTGAAACTTTTAAATATACAATATTTAAATTTAAATTTAACCAATATTCATTTCTATAAAATAAGATTAAACAGTACCATTTTTGCTATTTCAATTTTTTGCTCTAATCTTCTGATTTGGGCTTGTTTCTCACGTCTTGCCAAAAATAATTCTTGACGTTCTTTTCTTAATTCTTCTTTTTCTTTCTCTGCTGCAGTTTCTAATTTTTGTTCAATTTCTGCTCTTTTTTGAGCCTGTTATATATATATACATAAAATATATATATTAAACATGAAGATTATATTATTTAACATGTTCATTTTACATTAAAAAAAAAAAAAAANTATTCAGAAAATAATTTTTTATTTTTTTAATTAAAATATAATAAAATTTTGCCACCTGTTATGAGATTTTTTATCATAAAAACTTTCAATATTTTTAATTATTATCAAATATAAAAAAGCATAATTTTGAGGATAATGATTAGTTTCATAAAAATTTGTAAATGCTAATAATGTTTAAAATCTTCATTAAGTCCTACTCCATTTGAGATATGACATGACCCCTTATCTTCCCATCCCCTCAACCTTTCACCGACCAAATTTAATAGCATTAATGTGCTTTATACACAAGTTGTTGTACCAAATTTCATTTCTTAATCTTTATCCTATCCAGACATAATAAACAAAATAGATACCAACACACACAATATTTTTTGCCTTTTCTTTTTTCTTTTACCTTTTTGGGTTTAGGTGGTCTCAAAATGTGGAGATTTGCAAAAAAACTCACAGGATCAAATTTGACACAGTTCCAATACATTCCCTTGTTATATATACATAACAGCTAGGAAAGTAAAATGTAAAATGACAAAAACTTGGTACATAATGAAAGAATTCAACACAGTACTGCTTAAGTAATTCAACATGTAAAAAGAACAGTGTTTATGTTCTTTATATAAGGATTAATACTATAATTGATGATAAATTTATCTTGGTTGTCCTGAACTAATAATAGTAAAATATCATTAAAAAATCCAGTCTCGCTCTTGTGTGGTAAGAAAGCACATTAATTAAGTTATAGCTTTGCCAGCTAATATTTAATAATAGTAAAATATACCTTAGAGTAAATTTTACTATTTTTTCATGTATCAATATTAAGCAGTAGTGTGTTGCATGTGTACCATAATATTTGTGTAATGAAATGCTACTTTATTATATACATATAGTTCCAGTAGACTGAAAACATTATTATTTTCTGCTACTGAATTCAAACATTTATTAAATTTAATGCTTATTAAATGCAGTATTATTTTTTATAATTTTGTCCTAAATAATAATAGAACTTTTATACGTATGTGATAAAAACAATATACACAGCAATATAAAAACAGTCACAATATCTTAACTTTCTAGGAAGTATATTCACAGAACCATAATCACCAAACAAACAACAACTTTATTTACTCAGATGCATTTGGAAATTACAATATTTCCCTCCTCAGTGGGTTTTCTTCCATACAAGTAAAAACAAGGAACAAACAATTTTCTGATATTCTTTCAATTTCAATGTTCCAATCATTTAAGTTCTTTCATACTTTATAACCATTTCCATCTGTATTCCTTTGAGGAGGGAAATACTGTAATTTCCAAAATGCATCTGAGTAAAATAAAATTGTTGATTGTTTGACAATTAGATGCCTACAGATGTGATAATTCCTAGAAAATTATGGTATTTTCTATGGATTTTTGTTTCAAGATCTATATATAGAAAAAGTTTCTCAATACCCAAACTGAATCAATTTCTTATTAATTTACACAAAAATGAATACTAATAACAAATATTAATGTTGACTTATACTGTAATGTAATGATATAAAATTGTTTAAATATTTGAAACAATATTCTTTGAAAACTATTTTTATTTACCTTTGTTGTTGTATCATCATCATCGCCACTATCTTCTTGGTTCTTCTGTAGATCTTCAGTTTGAACCCCTAATCTATAAATTTTCATAAATTAATATAAAAATTTTTTTGCAACAAAATCTCAGATGGTATCATTCACAGTTTTATTTATTATAGTTAAAAATATACTGTAAAAGTTATTTTTAACAGCCAGAAAATTTGTGCAACTTGTTTCTGGATTTTTTATTCATTATTATTATTTTATTCATCTTTCTTTGAGCTGGGCATTCAAGAGTGGTCCAACACTGGTGCTGGATCATAGCTAATAATGGAGAATACTATTTTGATTAATTAAAGCTTTGTATCATTTTTAAATAAAATCACTTTTTCTACACCCTAATTTTTGGAAATGACTTTTTGATTTTCCTGATAGCAACAACTTATTTTGGACAATAAGCATTACCTTCGATTTTTTTCTGAGAGTCTTTGTGACGTTTCTCAGATTCTGGTGTATGTTTTGCAGGCAAAAACATAATAGGTGGCTTAGCTTTAGTAAAAATGAAATTCATCATCAACCGTTGCTTTGCTTCCCATTCTTCATGCTGAAAAAAAACATATATATATATTATTATTGAAAATTATACATCAAAAAGTTTTAATATAATTGAAACTTTTAAATATACAATATTTAAATTTAAATTTAACCAATATTCATTTCTATAAAATAAGATTAAACAGTACCATTTTTGCTATTTCAATTTTTTGCTCTAATCTTCTGATTTGGGCTTGTTTCTCACGTCTTGCCAAAAATAATTCTTGACGTTCTTTTCTTAATTCTTCTTTTTCTTTCTCTGCTGCAGTTTCTAATTTTTGTTCAATTTCTGCTCTTTTTTGAGCCTGTTATATATATATACATAAAATATATATATTAAACATGAAGATTATATTATTTAACATGTTCATTTTACATTAAAAAAAAAAAAAAAGTTGTAAACAATATATTATGGCTTATCATACACTAGCATCCAAATATTTAAAATAATTCAATGTTTTAAATATTTGGTTAATGATGTATAATGTTTACAACTATTTTGTATTACATAAAAACAAATATGTTAAATAGTATTAATGTAAAGGAAAAGGAGCAGAGTTATTAATAATAATAAAAATTATAAATCATTTTTATTATTTCATAATTACCTGTTCTTTTCTTTGACTTTCTTCATGCTGAAACTTTTGTAATGTTCCCAAAATCATTCCAAACATTCGTCTATTTCTGTAATTAATACAAAATCTTTTAGATAATATATCTTAATTTATATATTGTTTACTCATCAGTATAATAACTACCTTTCCATATTTTTCTTGTCACCTTTTTGTTCTTCTATTGTTTCCTTCCTTGTACGAATTTCTTTTGTTGTGGCCACTACTGAAGACTGAATAGTTGGCTAAAAAAATGCAGTGCATACAACTTTGAAAATTTAATAAAGACATTTTTTCTATATATTTTAAATTTGTAAAGATTCAGTTAACAGTATGATATAATTTAAGGAAATACTAAACTGTATTGCAATTTTATTCAAAATTATTATTATTATTAAAAAAATATTCTAATATATATCATCTAATTTTTGTATTGCATATTTTACACACAAGTTCTGTATATGAATGTGTTTAGAATGTTTTAAGTTTTTTTATTGATTAATTTTTTATGTGATAACTGAAATTATATATAAGCCATATATAATTTTTACTTAACTTAATAATATTTGTATCATGATTATTAATGCTAAATCACAGTCTAATGTTTCAGAAAAACATAGTTTGACAATGATTTTTAGTCTAGAATTTAAAACATTATTTATTATTTAAATATTCTACTTCTTGTTATAACTTTTAATTATAAACATCAAATATTTATTATGCAATTTCTGAAGCAAAAATTCTTACAAAAAATAAATAAATAAATACTGAAAATAATAATAGAACTTTTATACGTATGTGATAAAAACAATATACACAGCAATATAAAAACAGTCACAATATCTTAACTTTCTAGGAAGTATATTCACAGAACCATAATCACCAAACAAACAACAACTTTATTTACTCAGATGCATTTGGAAATTACAATATTTCCCTCCTCAGTGGGTTTTCTTCCATACAAGTAAAAACAAGGAACAAACAATTTTCTGATATTCTTTCAATTTCAATGTTCCAATCATTTAAGTTCTTTCATACTTTATAACCATTTCCATCTGTATTCCTTTGAGGAGGGAAATACTGTAATTTCCAAAATGCATCTGAGTAAAATAAAATTGTTGATTGTTTGACAATTAGATGCCTACAGATGTGATAATTCCTAGAAAATTATGGTATTTTCTATGGATTTTTGTTTCAAGATCTATATATAGAAAAAGTTTCTCAATACCCAAACTGAATCAATTTCTTATTAATTTACACAAAAATGAATACTAATAACAAATATTAATGTTGACTTATACTGTAATGTAATGATATAAAATTGTTTAAATATTTGAAACAATATTCTTTGAAAACTATTTTTATTTACCTTTGTTGTTGTATCATCATCATNACTTGTTTTTCTATCAATTTTTCTTAAAAGATCATTATGAAATGCATTACATTATTTCAAATTTATATAATTAAGTAAAAATATTCATCTATATTTCACAAAATCTTTTTGTAGTTTTCTTATTTTTCTTATTACTCAATACATTGGATACCTGAATAATAGATAATGTGATCAAAGAATAATACTGATTTTCAGTCATCATTATCATCAGTTTTCTATTTTTAGATTATAGGTTCAATAGGAAAACAGAAAATGAAAAGTTTTAAAATAACTTTTTATTATAAATAAAAGATTTTATAAACCATAATTAAGCATAACATGATCTATTTTTCATATTAATCCACTACAAATTTTTAATAATTCTGTGAATTTTATAAATAATATTGTTAAAGTAATTAAATTATTTCTCATTAAAAATTTTTTTATCAGCATTTATATATAAAATTTACCTGCTAAATGCACTTCCAAGAAGTCTTCTTTTGGGTTTTGAAATATCGGTATTGGCATTCTGCCATCTAAAAAGAACAATAATTTTAATTCTAAGTAATTTTAATAAATAATTTATATATATATATAAAAGCCATTCTAAAATTAAATAATAAATCAGATACTATAATCCTTCTTAATTAACTAAAAATTAAATATAATTTAATTTCAAAAATATTAAAAAAAAATTAAAACTACAAAATTGCTAAGGCAATATACCAAAATAAATTTTTCTACTCCTCCTCCATGGATACTAAGAGATCCTTTTAATTTAACAAACCCATCTCACACTTAGTCAAGCTCACAATGAATATACTTTGTGATCTCGTCCAACATACTGTATCTGGATGACAACACCTATGAAAATTTATAATTCAAATTTCTCCATGCAACAGGCTGACACAGGCATACAATTAAAATAAAGTATGTTGCAACTCCAGGGAAAGATCATACAATGATCAGAAAGAACATATTAAAAAATGTTTGATATAAAATGAATAAAATCAGAGTAGAAAATTTGGTTAATGTTACCTATGGTTCCAAGAGGGCAGCGCTTCCTGTAATCTCAAATTGGTGAGTTGTGCGGTAATAAAGATAGAGGGAGCTGACTGATTATGTAGTGACAAAATATGGAAATATGATAAACACGATATATTAAGAGATTGCAAATATGCAAATTTTTAAGGGAACGCTGTGTCAATCGTAATTTGACTAGGATTTATGCAAATTTTACGGGTGTAAGTCGAATTCGACTGTGTTGCATTATAGGATTATTGGATTTTTTGAAACCTTTCATATAATTTTTTTTGGATTTATTTGATAAATTGGTAAATACATTTTTATAAACTATAGTATTCAATTATAGTTTTTAAATATAATCTTAAAAAATTGCAATATTTATTCATTCTAGATTGTTGTTAATAACTTGAAAATGAGTTTAGTAGACTTAAATTCTGATGTGTTTTGGTCATGTTGTACTACTCGCAAATTCTAGCAGCTAATGGAAAATGAATCTTTGGAATTTGGGTTGGAACATGATATTGATAATGCATTTAAATTTGCAGTGAAATCAGGAATTCAACAAATAAAATCAGTATGTAAATTGTGTGCTAATACATGTAAATTATACTATCGAAGTGACCGAAAATCTTATTTTTTAAGATATAGTAAATGTGGAACTAAGTATTCAGCATTTGAAGGAACATTTAAGAGCAAATTTGGTAATATTTCTTGGGGGTGTCTTCTGTCATTCATTTGGCACTATCTTTGTCTCGAATGTACTGCTACTAATTCTGCTTTTGTGGCAGGTATATCTAAAAAGGCAAATGTCAATTGGTCAAATCATATAAGATTAGTTATGCTTATAGTATTGAATAATATGACTTCATTTAAAATAGGAGGTCCAAACAAAACTGTTGAAATAGATGAAACTGTTATATGCAAACAAAAATATGAAAAAGGCTGTATATTGAAATCAACTAAATGGGTTGTAGGAGGAATCTGTCGGGAGGATAAAAATTGCTTTATTTGTCATGTTAACAATAGATCGGAAAATATTTTAAATTGGGTAGTGTATAAATAGGTAAAATCTGGAAGTGTAATAATAACTGACAAATAGAGAGGTTATAATCATATAGACAATATTGAAGGATTAATTATTAAACATAAAACAGTGAATCATTCCAAAAATTCTGTGAACCCTAAAACAGCAACCATACCCAAAATATCAAAAGGTTATGGGGATATTTAAAAAATAAAAAAACACCTGCCAAAGCATTACACAAATGATCTATCTTATTCTTACTTGTATATGTTTATGTATAAAAAGTTTATGAATTGGCCAAATAGAAATCCAGGAGAAAGATTTCAAATTTTTGCAAAACATTTGTCTATGATATATCCTGGTACTGGAAAAACACAAAAATGGCTTGAACCTGAAACCATTCCGTCTACACCAGTTTCAAATATAAATAAGAATAACACTCAGAAATTGGAGAAGAAAAAGGAAAAGTTAACATCAAAAATGAATACAAAATTAAAGAAAAGTTCGTCTACAATTGTAAAAGAATTGACAAGATCTGTGAAGAAAAGACCTACAACTAGTAAAGAGGAATATAACAATGTCGGAAAGAAATGTAGGAAGGATAAAAAACAGATGGATTAATGTGAGTAATATTTGTTTAATTTAGTTTTGGAGTCATGTGACCTACAATTAAATAACCAGTTACAGCGCAGTCTCATTACTAAGTCAAAATGGCGACTGGAAGCACCGCAGTCTTGGAACCATAGGTAACATTAACCAAAAATTCTTGTCAATGTATCATGCATCATTTATATTTCAAAATAAAACTGAAAATATAATAAACCAGGTGATATAAAAATTTTAAAATTTCCAGTAAATATTTAAAGAATATAAGAAAAAAAAAAAAGTAATTTTCACATATAAGAGCATGCTCTTTGTGAAGAAATATAGTAAGTTTCATTGGATTTGTTGCAGATGAATATAATAATGTCAATAACAACCATCTGTTAAAAACAGAAATGTCAACGTAAAACAAATTTGGTCAAGTGCATTGAATGAGATATGTTCTTTTCTGAGATTTGCTCAAAAGGGAAAATAAAGATACTTGAAAACTACTTACAAAGCAGAAGACACATTATTTTTGGCATCTCCTACAACATTTCCACCAGCTATCCTTTTCACACCAATTCTAAAATAAATATAAATAAATATAAGATTTAATATATTTGTATAATAATACACAATATAAATGTAATTTTTAAATATGAAATAAAAATACATTAAGCAAAATTCTCTTAAAATTTCAAAAATTTAAAATTTTTAAGGCATGTCAATATATCATTTTGGCACTCTGCTGTTTTGTTATCCACGAGAAACATAACAATGCTCACAACTATCACACATACACCACATGACACAAATGCAAATAGCACACATGAAATGCGATTTGCATTAATTATGGAAGCAATGATTTTTAAACTCCATGCTCCAGTATAGACTCTTGGAAAATGGCTTCCTTTTGGGAATTTAATGAAAAAAAAAATGTAATTTTGAATAAAACAAAGTTCAATAAATGACCAAACCTGGATAACAGAACAAATATTAATAAGTCTGTTTCATTACACCATATATTTGCAACTTGCACATTAAAGCACAAGAGACCAACTGCATGTACAGCAGTTCATCTCCTATACTTTAATAGAGAGGTTGCGGCCGAAGTTTTCATCTCTCAAACGTGAACGTCGAGTGCTGCTATCTTGTAAGCGGCGCTCGACGTTCACGTTTTACAGATGAAAACTTTGGCTGCAACCTCTCTAATGTGTAAGTGTACTTTTGAACAAACCATAGAAAACAGCCTCTGTTTGGCTATCAAACAATCAATTCTTTTTGGATAAATACAATATGTTAATGCCATACAGTTTATCAAAACAAACTAATTCTGAGAACTAAACAATAATAACTACATGAACAAATTTAAAATTCTATGCACAGTAGACTAGAACTTATTATACAAAGTTTCCTGATTTTTCTCTTTCTTTAAATTAAATTAAAGAAAGTGCTAGAAAAAAGAAAGAAAGGTGTTGTGAAACTTTGAACAAATTTAACTTTATCAAAGGTAAAAATTGACTTCTTTCCAACAAATTGTCTTTGACTTAAAATTAAAAAAACAATTTTCAACTTACAAAGTCAAAGTTAAGTAACACAGGAAAGATATCTGTAATAGTTAAACAAAAAGAAAATATAAAAAGTTTATACTATACAAAATCTTTCATTTTTACCATTTTTGTTACCTCCCTCCTCATCAAAAGAAAAAGAAATAATTTGCATAAAACTGGAACAAATAGATAAAACACCTATGCTTCCACAAGGCAAATGGCATGTGCATGACATTCGCCTTTGCATCGCTTGGTGCACAAAACAGTCGCAACCTTGTCACATTGCTCATGGATAACAAAACAGAAGAGTGCCATCATTTTAATTAATAAACATTCTTTAAAATATGCAAATCTTTCACTAAAATATCTTAATTAAAACATTTGAAATCAGTGAACCTGATAAATGCATTGTAAATTACATATTTTGTGTGCTGCACAGAATATTAGGGACTCCATCCCTGATTGCTTTCAACAGTGTAATGGAACACAAAACAATTGCTTCATGACATTCACTCTTCACACCTATGTTGCAATTTATAATATTTTTTAAAAACTGATATTAGTTTAGTATATATTGATTAAATAATTTTAAATGTTAAAAAATTTAATAAATATTAAATTTCAATATTTTCTTTTGTCTTATTATTAACTAGCTTACCCGTCGCGCATTGCTGCGATCTCAGAAGAAACGAAATTCAAGCAAACTCGTTATGATAAAATTAAATTTTCATTTTATCATTTTTATTGAAACTTATTATTATTATTCGCTTTCATCGGGAAAACATTTCAAAGTGTTGTTTCAATTCTATTTATTTATTGGAGTGCTCGTGGATACACGATATTTTTTGTTTTTTCGTCTGGTGCGTACACGAATAAATCGGAAGGTTTTCCGACGCGTGAGCCGGCCACATACAGTTGTCCATGCGAGAAGCACGGATTCTCCAAATTTAGCCCACACACTCGCAGCGATTGTCAGAAGCGCGATATTCCCCATTTATATATATATTTTTAAATCCTTTATAATTTTAATTATTTAATTGCTCCTTCCTCTCTTCCTTGGCATGTTGTGAAATTTCTGATAGTTGGATAATAAACCGTTTTATTGTAATTTGTCTTTTTAAATTATTTTGAGTCGATATTAAAATTTGGAAAAGGGGGGTTCCTAGATCGGTAAAATACACGAATTTCTTCCTACAACTTCGGTTGTTGTTCGGGGTACAGTTAAGGTTTTAACGAAGTTCGAGCGAATACATAATTAGCAAAAAAAAGTTGAAATAAAGTGATTAAACAAAAATTATTACAAATATCGTAAATAACAGTTCACAAATGCATATATAGAGATATTTTTTGAAGGGGGGAAATGGTCTTCACAATTTGAAATCGATCGAACACACTGTGCGCGAATGCTCGTGTAAACGCGCGCCATCTATCGTAGGATAAATGTACTTCGCGGGAGTGTATTAAAAAATTAAAAAAACTTTCCAAAGCTTCATGGCAATCGTACTATGCCACAAACCTTCGCCGGAGTATATTAAACAACTTCCCAAAGTTTCACGGCAATCGGATAAACGGTGTGGTAATGCATGAAGGACACACACACACACAGACACACATACATTCATTTTTATATATATAGATAAGACAAAAGAAAATATTGCATTTAAAATAATGCACAGCAAATTAACATCACTGAAAATAGAATAATTTATGCATTATCTACTTATCTAATAACTTAAACTGTTCAGATGCCATGACATTCATCAGATGCTATAAAGTATCAAATGTTAAATTTTGACACCTCACAGCACACAAAGTATTTCAAGATTTCAAAATTTTCTGAAACATACTCATAGTTTTAACACTATTTTATATTCCTTTAAGTCTCTATCTATATAAACACTTCATGCCAGTATGTAAGGCTAATATACAGTAGCTTTAAACATAAGCTATTTTATCAAATAAATAGCCATATTTCTTCATCAGGCTATTAAAACTAAATAATTAGTAAGTTTGGCAGGAGGTAGGCAATTAGGTTGGCATTTCTTGTTAAATACTTATAAATAAATGAATGAATTTAATTTCATTTTATAATATTCTGGAAGAATGCCACTTAGTGTTTTCTCTTCCAGAATATTCTAAAACTAGCAGACCCTGCCACGCCTTGTTGTGGCTCAAAATGTATCTATTATAAATGTATAACACTTCCCCCGTGGGGAAAAATTTTTTCTTAGTGTACATTCTGTTGACGTACCATATTTAAACGCAATCAAAAACGCAAAAACACACATCTAAAATAGTATAATAGAAGCCAAGTTTTTCACAGTAAGCCTTAATCCTGTCTCTCTCCCCCGCGGGGGGAATATCAAAAAATCCCTTCTTAGTGTACATTCTGTTGACGTACCCTATTAAAACGCAATCAAAAACGGAAAAAACCGCATCTAAAATAGTATAAATAGAAGCAGAGTTCTTTACGGTAACCTTTCCCGTAAGGCTTACCGTAAAGAATTGTCCATCCCCCATGTTTAACGGAATAATATACAGCCTATGTCCACCCTGAAGTTCCATTCTAAATATTGGTGAAAGAATTTTTGAAATCGGATGAGTAGTTTCGGAGATTACCTGCTGCATACAAACTAACATACATACATACATACATACATACATACATACATACATACATACAAACATTACCTCTTTATAATATTAGTATAGATTAAATTAAATTTATTTATTTATAATTATTTAACAAGAGACATGGCAGCCTAACCACATATCTCATGCTAAATTACTTAGTAATTATTTAGCCTTTAATAGATTGATAAAGGAATCCAGCTGTTTGATATTTGGAGTAATTATTGTAAGGTTGTATTTATTATAAAGATACTTTATGTAACACATTACATTTCACATATTAAAAATAAACTGCTCTATAGATATTATTAATAATCAGAAAGAATATTTAATGATTTAAAATCTGCTACAAACATAAATGATCCCATATCAACTAAAACTGGAAGAATTACTTTAAATTAAACAAACAAATATATCTGTTATTAATTACTGTGTTATTAATAAATTGTTTTAATTACAAATATATCAAAAATGATTTTTCTTCTTTCAGAACTTAATTTTTAAGTATGAAGGAAAGCATTTGACCTTTTACTGTATAAATAAAATTTGCTTTTCTCTAACTTTAAATATATTTTATGCATGTTCCTATATAGCATTAGTAGCCAGCAAAGCAGCTTATACAAAACATCTGACAATTCAAAGATTTCAAACAAAAGAAATCTAGATATCATCATTGCAAAAATGATAAAAAAAATATGTAATTTCAATCAGATATACTATGACAATTTGTTAATTTGAGATGATAAAATATTTTAGAATATTTAAGTTTCTAGATAGATAATATCTAAGTTTTAGCAATCAAGTCTGAGAGAGCAAACACCTAATTTCTCTCACATTTTCTCTCTTAAATGTATTTCTCTTTTACATCCCAATTTGTCTTACATATAAAACTACAATAGTTTAAAAAATAAAATTGTATATAACAATTTATTACAAAATGATATCCATTTATAGTTCTTGTCTTCAACACTACTTAACTAATAATATTTACAAGATGACTTTCTGACTTAATTGTTGAAAAGTTACACATATTTCTTATTGAGAAAACTACACATTATTATTTAATTCATTGAGGCCAGGGCTGTGGAGTTGGAGTCGGAGTCGTGGAGTTTTGGTGTTTTAGCCGGAGTCGGAGTCGGATTGGTAAGAAAAAGTCGGAGTCAGAGTCGGTAGATTTTTACGCAACTCCACAGCCCTGATTGAGGCTATAACAAATATCACTAATTTTCATTCATATTACTATTGCACTATTGAGAAAATAAATAATAGCAAATCATAATTTCAAAAAAATTTTATTTCAATATATATTTTAAATAGTTGTTTTTAGTAATGGTATTTTATTCCTTAAATTACACTATCAATTGAAAAAAATACATAGATATATATTTTACTTTTCTATCTG